TTTGCGCCCGAGTGGTATGTGTGAGAATCGTGGAATGAATGTGTTGGTGTGCTTGTTTTGCCATTTTTTAAATATAGGGCGACTGTTAGAATAGGTAGCATACTTTCTGATGTGAATGTGTTTAATTATAAGCAGGTAGGGCCGGGCAGGTTGGCACAGTCTCTCTGGTCGCGTGTCTTCTTTTCGCGTGTCCAACCTGTTTCAGGAAATTTAATTTGAAAAATCGACAGTGGTACAGTGGAGCATGCCACTTGTTTCTGGTTTTGCTCTTCGATTTTTCGAATTTAGTATCGCGGTCGCGGACGCGGATAGGTCGCGAGTAGGTCCCGAAACGAACGTTTATACAGGTACTGCTCGAGCACGCACATGCGAACGGACAGTGATCACTATGATCGATGGTCGTCCATGTGTATTGAGGTCAGCTTCCGCGGTGTATCTTTTTATTTCATCTATAGTTTGCGATTAGAAAGACTCGAGCTAGACGTAAGTTTCAGCGGGCATTGCGCTCGAAGGAAGAAGAGGCCCGGCAAACTGCCACGAAGAGGGTCACAACAAATGACTTCTCATCCTCTGGATTATTTAAATGATTCCAGAGCATGGGAGATCATTCTCGTTACTACGTTGTCACTATGCTCTTTTAATATTTGTAGTTGTATTTTTTTTTTTCTCCATGATCGTTCATCATTGATTTGGGCAAATCACGGGTTGAATTAGAGTTGCGAAATAATTTCGCGTCTGTTCATTAGTTTTGCGAGAAATTGATTACGATTTAAATTAGAATTTTGAAGTTATGATGTCGCGATTGTCTTTTGCAATTTTGATTGTGAATTTTTAGTGTCATATATAATAAAATTTGTCTTGCTTCCTATTGCTTTTAATTAATTTTAGAGTGTTACAATATTTGAAATATCTTTTTTTTATGCAGTAGCTTTTGTATTGTTGATAATAGTATTCACTGAATTAGTGCTGCTACATCGTGATTTCCAATTATTTTTTCTCTTAGTGTTACAATATTGTTCTTTCGCGATTTTCAATTAGTTTTCATCTTAGTGTTGCGATAATAAATGACGCGTTTCTTGAAGTAGCGTTGCGTGTACAAAGTGTCCAAATCCTTTCACTGAATTGGTGGAAAACTATTATGTATTATATATATATATATTTTTTTTCATTTTTTATCATTTTTTCTTCTGTTCTAAACGTTTCAGCAAAGCAGAGTGTTATAAATATTCGAATTTGATATGCATAAATCAAAGTTTATTCGCGGTCGTCATTTATTTGTAATAAAAATCTTGCAATGAATATTTTGCAATTCTTTCTATTCTTCGTGCTACATAATGAGGAAATAAAAGTTGGAAAACAAATCTATATACTTAAAATCGTTTGTTAGTAACTTTAGAATTTTAATTTACCCCATGAAAAAAAACCATCAAAGTCCGTGAAACATGGAGTTTTTTGTGATACGTAGTAGAACGATTTCGATTAATTACTAGCTTCACATTTCGGCATTGAAAAATTTGACGGTCTCTGGTGCATTCAGTATCTGATCAACTTCGATCGTTTTTACTTGATGCAGGTCTCTGCAGTTGTTTCAGCAATTCGGTTAAAAAAAACCATGACTTTTGCTATGTCAGTATGTATTTCAGGGCACGAAGTCCCACAAGACGCAATATCTACTTATATACCTCGTCTATGTTCGATGCAAATTCGCGGGACATTTGAATAATCATTGCAGGAATCGGCATCGGTCGCTCTGATTAACGAACACCTTTGTTAATACAGCGCTGAATAGCATCGGTGCGTACGTTCGTAGTAATATTTTAACGCGGGCGCGTTATCGCGCTACGTACAGGTTCATTCGTTACTGGAGGCTGATCCTGTCACGCGGTAGGAATGACGTTCACCGATATGAGTACTTTCATTCTCAAAACGGCTTTGTCGGATAACCGAGCTTACGCGGGCAACGCGTGCTGGTCGAAACGACACACGGGATAGACCGACTATCGTATAACGGTATTATCGGGCCGCGTTTTCGGAATAGTGAAACGCGGCGGTGCTAACGCGAGTACGTCCGACTGTTTGCGAAATCCTTAAATGCAATATGGAGATACGGGGATGAAGGTCGTTGACAATGTGAGCACGCCGGCTGCGTTACAACGGGTGCAACCGGAGAAATTTATTTCACTAGCCCCATGCCTCGGGATCGTATAG